GCAAGGAGGGACTTGTTACGTATTTCTCAGCTGGCTTACCAAAACAACTTGGGACAAATTTCTTGCTCCGTGAAATCCGACGATGGTACAACTTGCTCACGAGCGACCGGCGATGAGAAGACTGTCGGAAGGACTATAAAGTTTGGAAAATACTAACTGGTATCAGGCCTACGTTTTACGAGGAATATGAGCTCTTCTGGAGCAACGAAAGCTTCATATTATAAATGTGAGGTACCAGATGAAACAGTGAGGCATTGCTAATCTGGGCAACGCCACTGTTCAAGCTTTGTTAGCCATAGGTGGTGATTTGGACAACTAGTACGAGTATAAGCAGTATGTGACCATTTGACATCTATCAGAATCCATTATACGAGCAACCTTCTGAGATTCATATATTTTTTCATTATTTTTTTTATTATGTTTTGCCGTACCGTTATTTGCGTTTAACTGATCCAGTCCCAACTAAAGTATTTTTGGAAATTCATGCCAATCCAGTGTCAGTGCTTAAAAAATAGTGTCCTTGTAAGCCACACCAAGGATGCCTAAGTGCGAGAAAGTTTATTCATTTTCGGTGCGCTGTTGATGGACATTGTTGTTTTAATGAAACTATGGCTTCTGGATCAGGTCGTTGAATTTTTTCTCTTTAATTACGAAGTTATAGAACTCTCCAAATTTACTGTACGTTTATCATCGTCTTCCTCTTCTTCTTTCCTCCTGTTTCCTCTGCGCCTCCTTCAGCTATTCGTTTATCTCTTTTTCTTGTTCACTTATTGCTTGTTTCTTGTTTGTAAGGGAGGAGCCCAAAAAAAGAAATTAAATGAATGGCAGACTAATCGTTATGGCAGCAGTAAGCTCTGAACACTTAGAGCGTATTCGCTAGACAGCCATTGAAGAAAGTACAAAGAAAGAAGCCAAAATTCAAGATCAATATATATCGAATGCTTGACTGAACTTTCTCTAAGCGGAAGCACAGTTCGGAGTTAGATTCCTAGCAAATAATAAAATTGTATTAAATTACATATAAGGCATGACTGAATCTGGAAACTAGCCCTTTTTGACGCTGGCACACTAAAAAATGGTTCTACAATTAATTATCATTCCAAGACTCACACGATAACCATACAGGGATGTAGGAATTAATGAAAATATATATGTTACTGCAACCGACGTTGGATGCATTATTTTACAGGGACTCACCAGAGTCTCCAATCAACCAAGAATTTTACCCGGCGGTTATGGCAGAGTTCGAAGCAGTATGGTTAGTAGGGAGAAGACTGAAGGCTGTAGCAGTTTAAGGATTATACGAGTTGGAATGGTGCCATGGAAAGGAAACTGCCTGATGCAAAGACATCAACAACCGTTAAACCGAATGACTGCCTTCTGACTTGACCTCTGTTTAACTCAGAATGCCTTATTCTACCATTTCTGTCCAAGCTGTTCCAAGAAATTTGATAAATGGTCATTCACTTTCGCGCTTGTTCAAAACTGCCCGCTTTTTCACCATAATATCACTTTTTCTCGAATCCTACTCATTTCCAGTTTCTTTATTGAATGCCATGTCAAATGATAATGTTTTCTGGGCCGTTTGCCAGAGGTTGACACAGCGCGTAAGACGCGTTAAAAACCTGCTTCTAAATCAACTGCGAAGGGGCGAAGTTCGATTTTCACGGCGGACAATCTTTGTCCTTACCACAAATTCTCTTGGGCAATGAATTGGGAACTCAGGTAGATCCAAAAGGTCCTGGATTCTAACCCTGGTCGCAGTCACTCACCTTTCTTCCTTTTGAAGTTGATAAACGAGAGTTCAGCATGCAGACTATGTTTGTCATATAACTGCTATCGGTTCTGCCTTTAAAAAATAAGACATTTCTGGCTGATGACATGAAAATGGAGATCAGCGCCCGGTTATTAAATTGATGAAAATACGGGTGCTAGAGTTGGGCCCATCATATAAGTGCAAGGAAGGCTGACATTCCAACTGTTACAAACATTCCATCCTCTATTTTCCTTGACCAGATGCTGCTCCAATTTTATAAGTTTAGCTGTTTATTGAGTAATTCTGTAGTGCACCCCAATTCATGTCACTTTTCTGGTGACTAGTACCATTATATACCATTCGGGGACTCACTTTACGTCTTTAAGTCTAGCATCCGCTGTCGATCTTTCTCTCCGTCACATGTAGCCTTTTAAAACAATTATGCTCCGTTTTCATAACCTTGTCAGAAAGTATCATATCATTGGTTTATTACACTAACTGAATCCCCAATTGTGTGTAAATTATGAAACGGCCATTGTCGTAAAGTGAAGGGTGCAG